TGTGCCACAAATTCTTCATTTGTCAGCTGAAATACACACTGATATTAAAATTACATCATTATCCTGCTGCTGTGGATATTCACCACAGCAGCAAACGTGTATTAATCCGCTGCTGAAAATAGTCCCTAATAAACCTGTTTCAGTACAAAACCTACAGCGCTGAGGCGTTTTAGAAATTATTTTGGGGTAGATTCTCAGTGATCCGGGTCATTATAACCGTTTGAGGTGATTCAGCTCTGATGAAGCCTCTTGGATGAGAAATGAAACGTCTTCAAAGACCAAAAACAGAGGCCAGTTGCTTTTTACTGAAGCTCTGAGCATTATTGTGTGTGCACTGAGCTGTTTGTAAAGCTTTACACTGTCAAAACAAGTAGGTTTGATTCTGAGAGCCACACCTCTGTCTTATTCTTTAAAGGCTTAGTTATAAATACACAACTGGCTTAAATAGAAGAGAATAAACAGACAGTAAAGGCCTCTGACTGTACGCACAGTCGTACTTTGGTGGCTAGATATGTAAGCACATGCAAGAAGGACTCTAGATGATGCTGCAGACAACTATGGAGTTAAATCAGTGAACTTTTTGTACAGCGTCAGTCTGAACTTTCTGGTTTTGCTTCTAATCTCGTCTCTCATCTTTCTCACAGCCTGAATATAAAGTTGCAGATCCGATTTGCACGTTCCTGTTCTCCGTTCTCGTTCTTGCGACGACATTTCCGGTCACAAGGGACGTTTTCCGGATACTGATGGAAGGTAAACACCCTTCACCTGGTGTCACCACTTTAGTTCTGCCAGTTTACGTGGTGCGTCTGTTCTCTGCAGGAGTTCCTCAGGACGTGAGCTTCAGCGCTGTGGAGGAGCTGCTGCTGTCAGTGAGAGGAGTCGTGTCTGTTCACAGTTTACACATGTGGAGCCTCAACATGACTCAGTCTCTGCTTTCAGTCCACGTGACCGCAGGTAAAGCCAACACTGCTGATCTCTGCACACAGAGGAAGTGGTGCACACAAGTCAGAATACTGGTTTAGCAGCTGCCCAACCATCCAGGAAGCACCAAGAAATGAACGGCGATGCATCGTCCTTCTTATGTTTGTTTGTTTGGTCAGAACGCTTCATTTTGTTTTCTGCATTTCAGGTCATTAACGTCCAGAAAACGCTGGAGTAGTAGTAATATGTTATAATAGTATTATACAGCTGCAACAAACAATTATTTTCATTATCAGTACATCTGAGTTATTTTCTTTATTTATATTTTATATATGTATATTTTATTATATTTATTTATTTATACATTATTGAATTTCCCTTCTGGGATAAATAAAGTATTTTTTTCATTTCATCTGACAGTTATTTTCTTTAATCAACTGAACCCCAAAACCTGTCAGCGTGTTCAAAAGACTTATCTTTAAAAACAAAACATCTCCACAATTTATTCGAGCCAGAAACTGTAAAAAGGCAAAAATAATTCCTGGATCTTCAGTTTTCCGACAGTCCTCGAACTACTCATCTATGATGCACCTTTCTGTCGGGAAAATTATCCAAATTCAAGCTTAAAAATCTTGATATTTAATCAAAATCCCTTCATCCCACGTGTCTCATTTAACCAGATTTTGTACAAATCAAAAAAAATCAGCACTTCTCAGTGTTGCGACAAGTCAAGAGTGATTAAGGTGCAACCGACAGCCGCAAAATTATCCTGAGCTGCAGGCTGTGTTTACACAGAGCAGAGAGGAGAAGGAAGTAAACTAATGAATAATGTAAGTCGGGAAATATCTGTGACATGAACATACCCAAATGTCTTTTTTTTTGGTCTGACCAACAGATAAAAAACACAAAATTAAAAAAATATCTCATAGCACGAGTTTCTGGCATCGTGTGAGAACAATAGTCATGTGGAGGTTAATAAATGTTACATGTTTTAAAATTATTTTCACAAGATGTGCACTAATACAAACACAGAGATGAGAAACACATTCAATACTTTTTACTGTTGCTACTTGAAAAAGTTTGAAATCAATAAATCTGATCTCTTTCTTCTTTTCCAAATGAATAACTAAGTCTGGTATTTGTCTGATTGTTGCTTTATTCAAGTACATCAATCTGCCTTTTGTGCTGTTTTTACTCTGCAACACTGTAAAATAGGTTTTCAAACTCAATCAGGACAACATTCATGACCTTTGAAAGACCAAAATACAAATTGAAACAGTTAATATGTCACAAAAATACCCGTCTTTGCTCTGAAGTTTGGGTTTATTTACTTTCATTGGCTTCTGCAGGTTCAAGCATGTAAAATATTGCTCGCACTGACGATAAAATGAGGATTAACGAAATAAAACCCATCAAACATGTGATGCCAGAGCTGTCGACCCTACAGTACTGATATGAGATGTTCTCTGGATTTGTTTCCACAGAGCAAGACGCTGATTCAGAGATCGTCCTCAGGAAGACGACGAAGCTGCTGTGCTCAGAGTTCGGTTTCTCCAGCGTCACCATTCAAGTGGAGCGTTGCAGGAATTCTGCCCACAGTTCTGAAGCTGTAAGATGAGTCTGGCCGCAGACTAATGGCTGGAAAAAAATAAGGCAGGGACTTCCTCAAGAGGGGGCTGCACCCATGAAGCAGCCTCCGACTCGCTGTTGACTGACCGGTGAACAGCACAACGGGATGATTGTGAAGCTGTTTCCAAAGCTGGTTTTAAAGCAGAGCTGCAGATAAACACCAGCTACACGCTGCAGGTGATGCTCAGAAAGTAGTCGGACCCCTTCTTTTTTTACACATTTTTTTGATTTTAAATGAGAAAATTTGAATTCTCCCCCTCAGCCTGCTTCTCAATACACCATCAGGACAAAGTGAAAGTGTTTAAAATCTCAGTCAATTCATTTCAATGTGTTTTCGCTTTTGTATTACAAGTTGATCGATGGACTGGAAAATGAAATCAACAACACAGTAAAGTGTGAAGAAAGTGAAGGAGTCTGACTACTTTCTGAAGTGTCTGGTTCATGTTTTGTTTGCAGGAGAGCAGCTTTAGCAGCGAGCACATTTAACATGTATTAAGCAGACTGGATATTTATTGTAGATATACGCAATTCAGTTCTTCCAAGTTTAAGCAAAACAAATAAACAAAAAAACATTTCAGATATCTACGATGAAATTTTTCCATCCACAACATTCTTCATTCAGGATATCCACATAGTCACAGTTGTTTTGGGTTTCTCTTTACAGAACTCTACAAATCAGCAGCACATCTGTAGCATGAACTACAGATATCTGCAGCTGAATTGTGACCAACTGTAACTCCAGTTTCAGATATCTACGGTTTAATTCTGACTTGTCATAATTCTAGTTCAAGAGATCTTTAATTCCCCTCAATCCAAGATAGCTACATTGTCCTTTTAGGATAATTTATAAAAGGTTTAAACTGTCAGGATATAGATATCTTGAACTGGAATTCTGCCTCGTCAAAATGTAATCACAGATATCTTGAATTAGACTTTTAACTCAGCGAAATTCCAGATATCTGTGATTACATCAGGATCTGTTCAAAGTCAGAGGTTTGCTTTCTAAACATACTATTGCTCTGCAACTGTATCCGCACATGACAAACTGTTTTCTAGTAAATTTCCACCACAGGTATCCAGTGAAGGGAGCGCTCGTTCTCCACTGTTTCTTTGCTGATGAGCTCTTCCTACTTTATGATATTTTAAACCATCCTATCCAACACAGCATTGTGCACTTTGGAGAACAAATAAAGCTTTGTAAAGGCCCTGCTGCAGAAGAATCTGCACTACAGAAGGTTTAGAAGCACGGAAATGTTTGAATTCCTGCATAGAGAAAGATTTAACGTCAGTTTGAGGAGAGGATATCTGTAAAGCTGAACAGAAAACCCACGCTGACGTGAAGCCACACTTCCTTACTGCACCTTCAAAGACCGTCTGGCTTCTGTGTTCTACTGGACTTTTAAATGTTTTCCATAAATCTGAGGCACGACATCTATTCCAGATTTATTTGTTGTGTTGTGAAATGTGTGTATATGAGGACTTTGATCTCTTTCAGACCAGCTATGATGACGGTGTAGATACCTGCAGCTGTTATTTCAACCAATCAAAACTCAAATACACGTTTCAGTCTTTGTGACATGTCAGACTGACATTATAATACCTGGAATAAAAACATCTAAGTCCTAATTACTACAACTAGTCAACATGTTGTCATTATCTCTCATTTTAATTCTAGGAAATCAAACTGTTTACTCATGCTGGTACAGTGATCATGTTGAAGCTTCGTTCAGTAATCTGTTAATCAGCAAAGCTGGCTGCATCTTTTTGTGCCATTAATTTTTATCTACAAATTCATATTTATGTGACTTTTCCTTTGTTTGACTTTCATGACATCTTGCACCTGCATTTGACTCATCTTCAAATATTTCAACCTTGAGTCAGCTCAGATCTGTTTTTGTAGCTTCAAAACAAAAGTCTGCATGTTTTTAAAAATTCTTTTTCCTAGAATTGATTTTGTTTTTGCAGCATCAGTGTCAATTTATTTCAATTGACAATCCTGGTCAGGCGGAGAGCAAATCCTCACACCGTACAGGCACATATGAGGTTGTACAAGACATTCATTCAAACACGTAACATACAAATGTTCATCAGACAGTATTGCTGGAAGGTAAAACTACAGTTAGTCTGGACGGAGGTCCTGGTTTTAAAGGAGCGACCGAATAGGAAGCACACAGATATGACTTTGTTCTTTTTTTCCCCTTTCTTTTTTGGCAGAACTTCATAAAAAAAAAAAAAGAACAGATAAAGGCAACACGAGGGAAGCTTTAGGCTCAGGCTTCCCAAAAATATCTTCCCAGATAAGAATGTACGAGTTAAACTGTTCAACATACCACAAACAATCCTAGAAAATCCTGCTTTGACCAAAACCCGTCCTCAGTGTGCGGACTGGGGCCGTCCGTCCCTCCAGTAGTTGCCGTAGGCCTCCTGGAACATGCTCTTGCAGGCGATTTTAGCTTTTAGTTTGGAGCAAATGAGGAAGGAGCCGCCCATCTTCCTGTGCAGCGAGTAGGTTTCCTCCGGAGGCGGGGTGAGCCGCTCCCTCAGCATCACCGGGATCAGTCTGTGGATTCGCTCGGTGGTGCTCTGAGCTCCGAAGTCGAAGGGCTCCTCGGAGGAGAAGGCTTCACCGAGGATCATCACGGCGTCCACGTGGGCGTTCTCCATCACCTGATCACAGAGGACGGCACGGTTATTCACACTGCACCTCACCGCTGCATTTTTCACTTTAGTACATTTTTTTAATCACAGTATGTTTACACTTTATGGTGCACTTTGTACTGAAGTGTTTACCGGATATTTGTTTGCTTTACTCGTTGTGCCTACTGTTCCTCTGGGGATCAATAGTGTATTTCTCTTCTGTTCTATGCGATCCTCGTACACAGAGGTTATTCATAGTTCTTTACAAGCAAATGTTAGAAAATGTGAAACAAAACGCAAAGTGATAAAAATTAGATTAAATCTTTAAAAACCAGTACAGACGAGTTAAACAAAGTACACACACGTTTATAGAGTCGTTAAAATTGGAAGTGTACTGATCTAAATGCTGATAATTAGAAGCTTTCTTTCTTTTCTACATAATAAAGCTTCACCAAACATCTTCACTGGTTTGTATTTTAAAGTGAAAACACGAGTAACAGAGGAGGAAATAATCAGTGCTGCTGTAATTCCCTCTGGAAGCCAGCAGAGGTCGATAAAGTAAGACGCTAATAAATGTTATGAAGCGATCTGATCATTTCAGAGTAAATCATCTCAGTTCGGTGCATATTATTTATCATTCTGTCTGTTTGGAAAATAAACCCTGCAGCCATCGAGTTCCAGATTTGAGGTTTGGAGAAGTTTCTGCAGGAGGTGTTTGTGTTTTCACTTTAATTCTCAGCCTGTAAGTTCTACCTTCATTCATCTCTAGTGAAGGTGAACTAGTAGCATCATCAACTTAATATACTTTATATTGTTGAAATAAACTACAGCGTCCTTCATCGGTTAAAAGATTATTATGATGTTTACCACCTTTGTCTCGTATCCTGTGAGGAACTTCATGTCTCTGGATCTCTGCAGGACGAGTTCTCTGTTCCGATCTGCAGCTGCCTTAATAATCTGAGGAGAGGAAGACGAGTCCAAATACTTATAATCTGATGAAAGGTTCACCTGCATGAAGGTTCAACACAATGTCTGTTGAGATTTCTTTTTACTCTTTAAATACCTTCAAACAACTAAACTATCGCTGCATAAAGGATTTTTTGAGCAGGTTGTGAATCTGATGTTCTTCTTACAGCAACATATGGCCGACTTAATGACACAAATACGAGATGCACTGACTTCTCACCTCGATGTAGGTGTCAGTGAAGCTCTTGTCAAATCCTCGTGTTGCTCCAAAATCCAACAGCGCCACCTGAAAACACAAACCGTGCACCTCAGTAAGAAGAGGATATTAAATGTGATACTAAGCGATCGAGGCGAACTGACCTTGTGAGCTTGTGGATCGAAGAAGAAGTTGGACCAGTTGGGATCAGTCTGCATGTATCTGAACTCAAACAGCTCCCTCAGGCATAACATCAAGATCTGCTCACAAATCTAGCAGAAGAAACACGAAATACTGAAACATTAAGAGCTAAAATGGTTTTCTGTCCGACGTGCCGACATGACTCGGGGGGGTTTTAAAGGTCTCGTCTGTCTGTTTTTGGCTCGTCACCTTTAACACCTCCACGGAGAGGCCGAGTCCTGGCAGGGCGCATGTGTTTACTGAAGCGGTGTTGAGTTCGGAGGCTCTGAATTCATACCTCGTTCCTGAGCTCCTGGGAGAGGTCGGCGGCCCGATCCAGAGGGAAACCGGGCACCAGCGTGGTGGTGAGGACGTGGTGGCTGCTGAGCTCGTCGATTACATCGGGCACATAGAAGAAGGGGTGATCCTTCAGCAGCTCTCTGCCAAACAAACAGCAGCGCCACAGTTAAAGGACACCTGAACCCGACCCCAGAAATACCATCGCAGGAGAACAAACTGTCTCTGAGTGTAAAGCTTAAAGCAACGCTGATATTGATACGCCTTTATAAATCTATATTATTCAGGCAAGAAGCCTTTTAGTCACGACAGAACAGTGTTTAAAAATCCCACTTTTAGCACATTAACAGGAACAGGAGCGAATTTTGCAAACAATAGTCATGAACACTTGAATGCATCAGTTTTAAACCAGCAATAAGTATTTTTTTCGCCACCACAAGCCGAGAACATTGGACTTAAGGGGACATGCTGTTCAGAGCAGCATCAGCATTCATTCTCAAGTGTTTTCTGAGCACCTGATGAATCTAAGACCAACAATGAGTCTCCTATGAGCTCCAGTTTCTCCATTTTTAGCTCTGTTTTTGTTCTCCACCAGCTAAAGAGAAATTTCTGGCTCTTCAGCTGCTACTTTGTCCAATATTTCTACCAGCTAGTTGTGGTTTGGTGCAGATTCAGGAGGAGTCCAGTGGCTTTAGAAAAAAAGCTGCCTGCGGTTGAAAGTGTCAATGATGAAAGTGAACCAACAAGAAAGTTGGGCGCCATACTAACATATTAACATTCATTCTACACCACCAACAGGTTTCTAAAATTTTTTGTACAACTTGAACGCAGCTAAAAACAGCTGAGAACAGTGAACTTAAGCTGATATATTCCATCCAGTAGATTCAGAGGTGTTTTATGTGCACCTGCTGACTCTCCTTCGAGCTCAGTTTTGTTCTCCACCACCTCCTGAGGGGTATTTCTGGCTTTTCAGTTGACACTTTCTCCATTATGTTTACCAGCTCGTTGCTGTTTGGTGCAGAATCAGGAAGAGTCCAGTAGGTTTGTCAGAGAAGTTGCCTACTGCTACAAATGCAACAATAAGGTGGGAAAAGCTAAAACCGCTGTAGAGATGATGGACATCTTTAGGTTTTTGACTGTTTTAGGACAAAACAAGACTTCTTAAGGCGTCACCGTTGGCATCGCCCCTTGTTTTGATGGCCATCATCAGTATTCATAAACCAGGATGCTACAACCAAAGCCTGCAGCAAAACCTGGTGTCACCGTGAAGCTCTTGCCTTCTAGGAAAATCTTCCAGGGCATCAAGTACATCTGAATGTTTGTTTCTACAACAGAAATAAACCCAAGAAAAGTAAGCGTAAGCGGCAGCAGCCACCATGACTGAACCAACAATGAAAATAGAGGCACCAAAGGTAAAACCACCTTCATCAACTAGAAATCCAGGAAAAAAAAAACAAGTCGTCACAGCTCTGAATGCACCGTATGACCCACAAGTGAATTCTTGGAAGTGTTACACAGAAACACAACAGTAAGAAACTGCTGACTTGCGCCAAAGATGAAGACAAAACAAAAGGTAGATGACCACTTCAGATCCAAAACATAAAACCGATTTTGGCCAAAATGATAATCCCGATTATTTTAAACCAACTTTATATTGCAGTGAACAATGAGCACACTGTTAGTAAAAATGTGACAGGAACAAAAACAATACTGTCACATATTTAGGGTTTAAAACAAACATAGAAGGCACCCACTGATGCATACTACGGCTCAGTGTTTTTCAGATTCTATAAAAGACAAGTAAACTGTAAAGCTCACTGGAATTGTTTGGCACACTTTGCCTCTCTTATGTAATCGCACTCCAGCGCCAGCTCACGACTCATGACCTCAATGAGATGTTCAGGAAACAGACCTGCAAAAGAGGACAAATGGGGAAAAAAGGGAAAATCACGACTGCCGTGGGTTGGCGTATTGACATTACCGCGGGTTACAAACACCGCACAAAAGCAGCTGTTATCATAGAGATGATAAAAAACCCTCCAACAATGTTACCTTCAGGCAGAGCGTTGCTTAAACTCAGAGCGGTCATGATATTATGCACGTCGCTGTCGATACTCTTGGCGACTCCAGGGTACTGAGGGAGGAAAAAAAAAAAAAAGAGTTGATTGTGTGGACTTCTATGAATTTGCTGAATTACGTCACGGTTTACGTGTTTTATCTCGGTGCTCACCTGTATCTTCATGGCGACCTCTCTTCCGTCCTTCAGCCTCGCTAAATGCACCTGACCGATGGACGCCGCTGCAAACGGCTTCTCCTCAAAATACTCCAGCTTGTCCCTCCAGTTTGGGCCCAGGTCACTGCTGACGGCTTTCTGCAGAGAAAAGAAAGAGAAAAGAGATTTATAGAAGATACTGGTCACCGTGTTTGTACTGTTCGCTGCAGCGCTTCACACTTTACCATCATCTGCTTCGTTGGCATAAAGTCTGCACTCTGTCGAACGCGCTCAAAGATTTTAGCCAGCTGAGGGTTGATGAAGGCGTCATCTGATGGGAATTAAGAAGAAAGCAGTGCAGTGAAACACAAAGATTTCATACTTTATAGTCTTTAAACTATTATCTAAAGTGTATGTATTGTTGACAAAAGGGAAATTGTGCTGAAATCTTAGTCCTGGTTGGTTATCAAGTATCAGGTGAGATAAATTCCTGGAAATCTTTCAAAAATGCAGAGAAGGAGCACTTTAAGTAACGAATGCCCTTGTTTATTTTAAATGATAAGAGTAAATGACGTTATTATTGACAAATCAATCTCACGTCCGGGTCCATGTAGTAGCTGTCGGGGACCTTTAGACTGTATCACACCATCTTTGTCGGCACATTCAGCTGTCAAAGGAAATTTACACCTTCAAATTTCCATCAATTCTACTTCAGTTTAAAAAATTCTTGCAAGTTTTGGTTGAAAACGTTTTAAAGTTATTTTCAAGGAACTAAAAATTAAACTAAATGTAAACATTTATTTTCCTTAAACCTTCAATAATTTCTATTTTTTGGCAGAAACAAGCACGCTGCCATGTTACCAACTGTCAGCCGGTCTCGTCACATATTTATACATCCAGCGCTTACAGAGCATCATATTGTTAATTTGGTGAATGCGAGTCCAGTTTTAACTCTGGTTTTGGTCTCCACCAACTCCTGAGGGAAACATCTGACTCTTTAGCTGCTAAATATCTTCACGACGTTCACTGTTCATTGCTAAAGTTGGATGTCTGTTGTCTGACAAGGTAGCCAAAATGGCTAGGCCCACAAATGGTCCAAATCTGGCGGTCCAGAAGAAATAATTAAGCCCAAGTTCGATTCAGAGATGCTCCATAATTGGCTAAAGTACACTGGACTCACCTGAGTCTAGCTACTCAAGTTGAACAAGGTCTGACCCAATTCAAGTCACCACACATGGTCCATAATTGGCCCGAATGTGGCTAAATGTGCCATTTGTCGATCCAAATTGGCTTAATCAAGACACGCAAAACCAAGACAAACCTGGCAACCACTGCTGGGCCAGAGCCAGATCAGTTCTAGTGCCAAAACACAGCCAAGCTTACTGACACTGATGTGAGTTTTCACTTAAAACAGATGCCAAAAGCACCAAATAAGCCAAAAGCAATGCCTTGAGGGCAATGAGAGCGAACTAAAACAGCAAGCTCAGCAGGCCAGCAAAACAAAGGGCTGAATAACACAAAAACCTCATTCAAAACATTCAAAACATTCATACAAAAACGCATTTAGTTAACTGTCAAGAGACAAAGCAAAGCAGCAAATACTGAGAAATAGGAAATAGGTGTTATTTAGCCAAACGACTTTAATCATTAACTGAAAATACAAAATAGTATTGATTAATCACCAAACTGTCTGACCTCTGCTCCCTCTGCTGATAAAGATCATTTGATATGACCGAAAGCTCTACAGAGGCACTAAATGCACCTTGAGGTGATACTGTTTATTGTTTCAAAAGTCAAGAATGAAAAAAATCTGCACTATTTTCAAACAAGTGAAGGTTCAAGCTTTGTAATTTTGTCACATCTTGTTTCAATGTGAAAACAAGATGAAACATGCACAAGGTGATTTCTGGAAATGCCTTTACAGCGTGTTGCTGGACGACCTTGAGGGTTTTTGAAAGATTTCCAAGGTTTTATCTCTCAGAAAACAATCTCTGTAACTTGACTGCCGCAGCGATGTTACATGAGTCGCAGGCGGACCAGCAACTCTGTAAGTTTAAAGTCAACAGTGTCAGTTTAGACTCTGCTGCCGACAATAGCTCAGCTGGAATGGCACTTATTGTGTTCAGCTGGGCCGAGGGTTTATTTTCGGTGATGACATTTCGCTGTTGGTAAAAAGGGATCTTGTTTGTTTGTCGGAGACTCCGAATCAGAAACATGACGAAGTCTTGAAGCGCCAGACAGTAAATCTGTGTTTGGTCTGTGATGAAAGCTGAACCTGTATTTGCACAGTGATACTTGAGGCTTTACTGCCCATAACATGCCTCAGAGGTCCAGACGTCCTTGTATCACATAAAGTCAGCTATTTACTGTGCCACTAAATAATAACTCTCTCGTGTGTTAACAGTGATTAGCGCAGCGTGGAGTCATTCAAGTGCATTTGTGTAAACTTTACCTTGAATACTGAGCATCTGTCCGAGCTTCAGAGCGGCACCTCGAACTTTGCAAAGCGTCCGGACGATTCTTTCGGCGTTGGCCTCAGAGAGGAAGGTATTTGATTCCAGCACGGCTTTTTTACCACCTAAAGAAACATACAGATCATTCAGTGCAACATTCATTCATCTTCATGGACTTCACAACTTTGTGCAAAACCTGAAAACCTTTGCTCAATGTTCAAAGGAGTTTCTTGTCAATTCATGAATGTTTCTTTGTCCGTCCTTATGTGCCACCAGAAATACTCAATGGGGTTGAGGTCAGTCCATGTCGCTCAGCAGTCCTTTGTCTCTTTTGGCAATTAAGTAGTTCTACAAAGCTTTGAGGTGGTTTGTTGTTCTTGTCACGGTCCAAGAAAAACCTTTAATCTAGCCACGAATTAATGCTGTGAAATAACCACTTAGTTCAGAATTACAATCTGACACGTTGCTACAAAGTCCAGTACCGCCCTACAAATGAGAAACAAATGACACCTTAATGAATGTGGACCAAAACCAGGAGATCAGAAGAGTCTGTCCAGGTCTGTACCAGATTCAGGTCACTACACATGGAACATCGTGGTCCGAATGCTGCTAAATGTGCTATTTGTTGGCCCAAACTGGCAAAACCACACACCAAAAAACAAATCTGGCAACAAATGCTGGGCCACTCAGCCAGGTGGGCTGACACGTAACCGCTATGATTCATCTAGCTACCTGGTAAACTGATGCCAACAACACCAAAAAAGCCAAAGGGTGCTCATTGAGAGTGATGAGAGTAAATCGAGACAGTGAGTTTGGGGGTCAGAAAGCAAAATAAATTATTTTCTGCAAAAATCCCCTCTTTGCTTGGAATAGCAATTTGACTGCTGATACGTCAACTTTGTTCCAATGCCTTGTTTCCACCTTCACAAGGCTACGTAGTAAAGCACAGTCCTATAAATGAGCAACCACTGATCCTATTGAATGTGGACTCTGGTAAATTAGGGAATCTCACTCTTCTGGGAGTCACTGCAGCGTACCATTCTCCTCAACAGACTGATGGAGCTGCTCTGAACTGGTTTTCATCTTGCTGCTGACAGATAGGTTTAGTTTATAAGGTTTATGAACTGCCCTCATGTCCTGTGGAGTCCCACAGGGCTCAGTCCTTGGCCCCATTTCATTTGGTTTATGTCTGTTGCCTCTTGGTCATGTCATTCACCCCTGAGTGCTGCCACTTTTACGTCGATGACCCTCGGCTGTATGTCTTAGTTAGCCCTAAAAATCCTGACAGCCTGGATTCTCTGTATTACTGCCTTGTTGACATGAAGGACCAAACGGCTTCACAAAGACGACACTGAAGTCATATTTATTTGACCTGATCATATTTCTAACAGTATCACTCCCCAACTTGGACGATGAACACATCAGCCACAAACTTTGGACAGTTGTTGATCACAACCTCACCTTCTGGTTCAATTCTGCCATCTACGAATCAGAAATACTGTCCAAGTCAAACCAATGCGTCCAAAAAACATAGTTTAACGTCTCACCCAGACCCTTATTTTCTCCTGTCTGGACTACTGCAACTCAGGGAACACATTACTCCAGTCCTGGATGGATTACACTGTCTCTGCTACAGAATTCAATTGAATTCTCTTGGTTACTTTTAAATCTCGATAAAGTCTAGCTCTGCTCTACATCCTGGAACTTTTAAACCTTTATTCTGCACAAACCAGAGAACCAGTTGCAGTTAAAAATCTCACAGTTCAGGCTTAAAACAAAAGAGGACCATTCTTTTACTGTTCTAGTCCCAAAGCTAGGGACAAGGATGTCACTTATTGACTGAACAGTCAACCAGCTCATTTTAAAAAGCTTTTTAAAACTCCAGTGGACAGACAGGCTTTTGCATAATATTTAACGTCTTTTCTAATGTTAGATTGAATCCTTTTTTTAATATTGTATTGTCATTCTTTCAATGTCTCACTGATGAATTGTAATGTATTTTCTCTTTTTTATGTCTATGCAAAACACTCAGTAACTCCTGTTTTGAAAAGTGTAAAGGAAATAAAGTTTATTATTGCAAGAATATAATCGTGGATAATTTTCTGCTGGTGAACAACAGCTGCAAGTTACCTTAACACGCCTCCAATAAGTCAATAAAATCCACTTGAGCGTCATCTAAACGCAACTCAAGAAAACTGACTTTTTCTGCAAGGAAGTTAACAACATCAATGCCACAAATCTGCTCAAATTTAACTGCTGATCTTGTAGAACTGCAGAATCTGAAATATTTCTTCCTCATTTTACAAGTCTGAACTTCCTGTGTTTTTAAGTGTAGCTAAATTTCTCGCACGACTATTTCTAGGTTTGTAGGACAGATTTTTGAGTTTTAGACCTCCATTAAGGCAGCAGGCAGTTGGTTTATTTGAATATAAAGACTAGAAAGAGAAGGAAAGAAGTGATCTCTAAATAATCAGCATGTTTGCTCATGTCTGTTAAAAACTGAAGTCAGCAACAGCTTTGAATTGAAAAGAAGCGGATAAGCATTTTTGTCTTTACCCAAAAAAGTATTGAATTCCAATCCTCAGTCCAAAGTTAGATTACCTCAGATACTGAACATCCTGAAGATAAGTTAGTAAATATTTGTTGTTTACACATCTTAACTGTCTGTTGAACGATAAGTGAGCTGAAACGTGCACAGAGTCACTTTTATGACATCGCCAGCACATTTCAATGTGACCACAACAGTCTTTATGGTCATAAAAGTCCCAATAATTAATCATCAGCAAACCTTCAAACAAATAAAACAAAAATCCTCCTTTCATCACCTTCTTCTTTGGGTTTGAAACTCTTCTTGGCAAATTCTGCCATTGCTCCGATTCCGAGGCCGATTGCCAGACCTGCACACAGAAATCAAAACTTTAAAAACAACAAGTCACTTAATAAACTGTTCAAACATTATCAGCCTCTTTGTGGCCACGGTGTCCTTACATGTGCCCTACTCTGCATCTGATAACGGCAGCAACAAAAAAAAGGATGTGATAAGAGCAATCAGCAACCACACACGGGTTTAATTTCTGAGCCCTTGAGAGTTCAGGGGCAAACGAAGGCCAAGAAAGCATGGAAGCAATAAATGACACGACTCTAAGCGTGCTGCCCTTTGATGAGATGAAGGCTGGCAGCACGCTTTTATATTAGCCGGATCCTCTGCCATGTTCCAGAAACATTTTCTCAGCTACTGATACGGTGTAATTCCAGTCTGGTGGAGGAGCCCAGCAGCACCACCGACCGTCTGACCCCGACTCTGAAAAACTGCTAACGAGGCCAAATTTAAACTTGAATGCTTAAACCCTTCACTGTATGAGAAAAATAAAAATGAGTAACAAAACTATTTAGGAAAAACAGGAAGAAGAAAAATAAGATGGAATCAGAATCAGCTGGTTTTCACATTAAGTTGATGCAACACGTAGAAAATTGCTAAAAAAGGAAATACTTTTTTTTTTTTAAATGCCAATCAACAGAGCAAATCCAAGGTGTTATAATGTGCAAATGCAATAAACAACTTTATATATACAAAGGATTATTATTATTATTATTTAAAAAGCTGTGCCCTTATGAAATGTTGTGCGTCTCACAGCATTGACTTTTTGCCGGATTGCACAAACTCTTGTCATGTTTACGTCCTGCAGAGCGACTTGTTGGTCTCCCATGAGCCTTTGCCGCTCTGGAGGAAGTGCCAGTGCTGCTCAATTCATTTGCACAACTTGTTTGCACAACTTCTGTCAAAAATAGTTGTGAGTTGGCCAAGACAATGCCAGAGTCCATTTAGGATTTTGACAATAATCACGTGCAAAAAATTTCAAAAATGCTGCAAGTTAAGATTCATTTAATTTGTAGAGTTTAAAAAAAGAAACACCTGAGCTTAATGTTGAGTTAGTCCAGTTTTTGTTTTTGCTTAATCTGATGCTTCTTTTCTCCATTAATCCTTGAGTTTAGAAGTTGTCCAACAACAGGAAGATCATATATTTTGTGCATTTTTGTATTTAAATCTACTTAAACAAACAGTCAGTTTGCAAAATCGTTGCAAATTAATTATACACTGAGCTCAATGCATG